CCTGCCAGTGATTTTGGACACCGATAAGCAAAAACACCACCGTCAAATACGCGATAAGGCCCTACTACTACTACTACTACTATTATTACTACTATTACTACTAGGTGTCACGCCCGTTCAGTGCCGGAACTTTTGATGGAAATTACAGGTCGAAGTGCGTTTTGCAGAGGCCCGTTGACTACGTTAATTTTCTAAAGGTTATTTTGGTAGTAAAGAGCCTGATTCTGAAAATACTAAGCCCATACTATGATGAAAATGCATTGGGGTCAGTAAAGGATTCACTCAGATAATACTAAGCCCATACTATCAAAGAAATGCATTGGGGGTAGTAAAGGGACCCACCCGAATAATACTAAGCCCAAACTATGAAAGAAATGCATTGGGGGTAGTAAAGGGACCCACTCACATACTACTAAGCCCATACTATCAAAGAAATGCATTGGGGGATTAGTAAAGGGACCCACCCCGATGATACTAAGCCCACACTATGATGAAAATGCATTGGGGGATTAGTAAAGGGAATCACCTAAATACTACTAAGCCCAAAGTATCATGAAAGTGATTTTGCAGGTAATGAAGGACCTACACAGACAATACTGAGCCCATACTGTGATGAAAATGCAATGGGGGTAGTAAAGGGACCCGCCCACATACTACTAAGCCCAACGTACAATGAAAGTGCTTTTGCGGGTACTGAAGGGACCCACACAGACCGTATGCTGTTGGAACACGAACGTTATGAGGGTTTGGGCTTGGATGCTCTGGTGACCGTATGCTGTTGGAACACGAACGTTATTATGGTTTGGGCATGGATGCTCCTGTGACCGTATGCTTTTGGAACACGAACGCTATTATGGTTTGGGCATGGATGCTCCAGTGAGCGTATGCTCTTGGAACACGAACGTTATTATGGTTTGGGCATGGATGCTCCGGTGACCGTATGCTCTTGGAACATGAATGCGACACGTCTCACGGCACCGAGTGGGCGTGACACCTACTACTACTACTACTACTACCACCACCACTACTACTACTGGGATGCGCGTGCTTATTTGGCCGTAGAGATTTTTCTACATTTGTCTTTTCGAATCTTGCAAAATCGAATGCCCTCTCAATGTTTTTGGCTTGTGGGTTATCAATAATCTGCAACACATAATGGGTTTAGTATGACGAAGTACATAA